GCTGTAAGGCATTTTCTTAACTAGTGATTGATGGGGGAGGGCCCAGCCCATAGTGGGCAGTACCATCCCTGGGCTGGTGGTCCTAGGTTCTATAAGAAAGCAGGTTGAGAAAGCCGAGGGAAGCAAGCCAGTAAGCAGCACCCCTCCATGGCCTCTCTGCATCTGCTCCTGCCTCCAGGTTTCCGCCCTGTTTGAGTTCCTCCAGTGATGAGCAGTGCTGTGGAAATGTAAGTCAAATAAACCTTTTCCTCCCCAGATTTCTTTGGTCATGGCGTTCGATCACAGCAAGAGTAACCCTAACGAGGAGAGAAATCTTCCCGTCACCTCATCTTTCCAGCATCCCCGGTGGGGCATACCGGTGCAGACCTTTGATCTGAGCACTCAGGAGGCCGAGTCAGGTTAATCTCTGCCGGTTTTAGGCCAGCCTGATCTATACAGTGAGTCCCAGGCCAGGTAGGGTTACAAAGAGACTCTATCTAAATAAATAAATAAAGTTTACGTATCAGTTTTAGAAATCAATTTAAACATAGGTAATTTATTTTCTTTCTAATGCTGAGTCCGCTCCACTACTCACTATTGTTCTGGGTACTATCCTCCAACCTTTGGGCCCCACCCAGCCTGTCCCTCCATTCCTGAGTAGGGGTCAAGTAGCAACTTTGCAGGGGGCTGCAGGCAGGCAGCAGATATGGTCATCCGCGTGCACTGGGGTGTCATGAAAGAAGGAAAGAACTGTGGTTGAAGAGAACCCTGTTTTGATTCCATGACTGCTTATCACCCACCTATCCAAACATGCTTCTCAGTGAAGGGCAGGGAAGAGAAGGCACAGAGGCAGAGAAGGAAAGCACCGTCTTTTTGCTCCAGGAAATCGGGACTCCATGGCCTTTAAACTGCACTGGTATCACCTGTCCCACACTTTGTTCTAAAGCATGAGGAAGTGGTGGTGAGGGGTGGGGGGCGCTCTGGCAGCTGCTAGCGCTCTCTTGTCAGTCAACCAGAAAAACTCAAGGGCTGTGGGGTGTCCCAGAGGCAGGCCGGATTGTGACCATGCCTAGGTCATCCCCCACGAGATAACCATGAGGACCGCCTGAGGAGCCGTTCTGGCCATGGAAGACAGAGGGCTCACCCAGGAAGAGTCTGAGCAGTGCTTTCTTGACAAGCCACTCAAGAAGGTCTGTGAAAGGGTCAGCGGAAGTTCCCCACTTCAGATCTTTCCGGTTTCCTTTCTTCCCTGTGCTTACCACACTGACTTGCCTGGTCTCTGCCTAATCTGGTTGGAATTTCCTCCTCCACCCACCTGGCATGTGCCCTACAGTCTTAAGCACTTCTGACCATGGGCTCTTGCGTCCACCTCACAGGCCAGTCTAAGCCACCATATCACTTGCCCACCAGTTAAAGGCTCCTGGGAAAATCCTGCCAAGCCCAGTTTAGAGAGACGCTACGGCTGGACAAGAGCCTGCAGACACCCAAGCATCCTAGATCCCTGACTTGGTTTCCCTCTGCTGGTTGCTACAACTGAGGGCACTCAGAGGTCTCACCAATCTGGCTCTCTTTAAATGAAGCATTTGTATCTACCACAGGCTGTGAAGACTAAGGGAAAAAGAAAGAGGTTAGAAAAATTGATGCAAGTCTTCCCAATGGGGACTTAAACAACCTAAAGCTATTGCTGCTGGGGAATCGGAGAGACATTATGGACCATCTAAGATGCCCATACTTTGTTTGGAAATGGAGTCTTGCTAGGTGGTAGCTCAGGCTGGCCTTGAACTATGACTTCAGGCTGACCTCAAATTCTCCACCGTCCCGTCCCCAGCTTCCAAGTGCTAGGATTCAATGCGTGCACTATCTGGTCTGGCCAGAAGTGTTTTTTCAGTCTCTGGGAAACATGTCCCAAACAAAACTTCGACAGTGTCTCTTCCTTCCGAAGCCATAACTGCTTATATACCATGCTGACACCCATCTGTCTTTCAAATGCTCAACCCACTAGTGGGTCAAAACCCACATTTGGAAAAACACTGGGCATGAACATGGCATTGGAAGGTGACAGAGCCTCACGAAAAAACAGCTTCAGTATTAGAATAGTAAACATCCCTAAGTCCTCCACAGGCTCAGAGCTGCAAAGAACCTGCCCTGGGTTCCACAGCTCACACATCCTAGGTTAGCAAATCTGGAAAAAGCAGACTGACTCAACACTCACATTTAACAACAACAACAAGCTCAAAGTGGGCGGGGCGGGGGGGGGGAGAACACAACACAGGTCATAGATACCTTTTCAAAAAAAATCAAAGAAAACATTTTTTTCTTTCCAAGACATGATTTACATACGTTTGGTTTCTGTTGTAATAATTAACACGAAAGGACAATAGGTGTGCCAGAGAAAGGGGGTGGGTTAAAGGTGAACGGGAGTACCCATTCTCCCCACAGCAAAACAAAGGCACACATCAGTGCCTGAGGCAGAGAGCAAGGGTGCTGAAGGGCTGCCAGCCCCAGCCACGCCTCCTGACTCAGTTACTCAGTCTTCATCATCCAAAAATATTTAAGAGGGACGCAGCTGTGGTCTTCCCCACGTGGAACGTTTTCAGGACTGGGCTGTAGCTGTGTCCCTGCCCCCTCAGGCTAGGCACAGACAACCGTGCAGATGTGGGTAGACACTGGCTCAAAAGCCTGTGTCACGTAATTATCTCTGTGCTTTTTTGTCTTTGCTGAAAACAAGAAAGGAAGAAGGAAGGAAGGAAGGAAGGAAGGAAGGAAGGAAGGAAGGAAGGAAGGAAGGAAGGAAGGAGAGAGAGAGAGAAAGAAAGAAAGAAAGAAAGAAAGAAAGAAAGAAAGAAAGAAAGAAAGAAAGAAAGAGTCCTTGCTACCCAAAGAAAGTTACAGAGGAACACAAAGGAACTTCACACCCAGGCTGAGAACTGCAGAGCCCAAGGGTCTCTACCCACAGCCAGGATCAAAATGGCAGACCTGGAGAACTTGCTGACTGGCAAAGAAAAACATCATTTTGTAACCAAGCCCCCTAAGGTGAATACTGACGACAGTGAAGATAGACACACACACACTCACACACATGCTCACAACTCACACTCACAAAACACATTCTCTCACACACACAGCTCATATACATCCACATGGTCTCTCTTACACAAACACACTCTCTCTCTCTCTCTCTCTCTCTCTCTCTCACACACACACACACACACACACACACACACACACACACCACAAAAAGTTCCACAGATGGGAACTTTTTGGAAAAGACCAAGCACACAGATGAAGTCTGAATCAAAACCACCAGGGAACAGTATGGGGGAATGAAACACACAGCACATGACTTACACAGAGGAGACAAACGCCTTGACTGTCAAGTAAATGAAATAGTAATAACTGCTCTTAACCTTCAAAGTAAGCTAAATCCTTGAACCAGAATTCATGACAAAAAGCACCAGGCCTCACCGGTTCCTTTGCTGGAATGTCATCTCCCAAGTCTATGGTCTATTCAAATGAACAGCTCCTAACTTTCCCCTGGCTCTAACCCAAGATAATGACTGTAAAAATGTCATTTTGTTTGATCTGTTCTATACTAATGCCATCTAGTATATGCCCCAGGTCTTTCTGGGGTAATTTAAAAATCTAAGACCTTTCCCCAACTCATTCCTCAACAGTGGAAGGCAAGGAGCACTACAAGACTCCCCACTAGGACAGTGGAGGGACAGTAAAGATGACTCGGGTCTGTCAGCGAGCTGGAAGACAGGCCTTGCCGTATGCCCAGTGTCTGTTCTCCCTGGACTTGGCCTGTCCAGTCACCGACTGCCAGCTCTGAGAAAATCCCAATATTCACACCTGTTCAGGTGGACCCCGCATCAGCAATAAGGTACTGTTATGTTGTGTACAGACCTGGCCCCCTGCCTTACAAAACAACTGCCACTTAGCGAGGCCACTAAGTTCCCCAAACCATACTAGAGGGTGAGCCCAGAATTAAGTGGCTAAGACTCCGAGCAAGCTCCTGTGCGCCCCTCCCTTGCACCTCGGTTTATTCATATGTTAATTTCCAGAGATGCCCCCACCCAACTCCTGTTAGATGAGTTCCACCCCTAAAAGTCAGTATAGGTATTACTTCCTGGAACTCTCGCAGTTCCTTTCCAGGTCCAGCACAGGCAGCTCACCTGTTCAAGTTGCCCCTCTACAAGAAGCACAAGCGAAACTACCCGGAGGGAAGTGACCAGGTCAAATTGGAAGCCTATTACACAACCCATAGACAACCTGTATACAAGTTTGCAGGTTCTCCTCACAGCAAACGAAAGACAGCAAATGACCCAGTAGGTCCCATTGCCTCCCAGCAGAATTGGGTGGGAAGGGAGGCGTCGTGGGTTTGTCACCGATACAGTACCCCCCCCCCAGGAGGAGCTGTTCTGAGCCTGGGGATCTGGCATTCATGACTTGTCCCCAGCCCCTAACCCACGCCATAGCAGAAGGCAAGCCAGAGAGCCAGCGGGGGCACGGCCGGGGGGGGGGGGGGGGGGGGGGGGGGGGGGGGGGGGGGGGGGGGGGGGGGGGGGGGGGGGGGGGGGGGGGGGGGGGGGGGGGGGGGGGGGGGGGGGGGGGGGGGGGGATGTTTAGATTTCTCCACAGAGCGCAGCGAGGTGAGCAGCGAGCGAGCGCTTCCCTGCTGCCAGCTTCCTCGGAAGCCACACACGTGCTACACCCGAGCGCGGTGGGACGGCTCAAAGCCACAGCCTCCTCTATGCCGAGTGCTCACCACTTTCCCCCCCCCCCCCCCCCCCCCCGCGACCAAGGCGGGGACCAAAGTGCTGCGGGACTCCCAAGCAGGATCCGGGAACACTCCCCCAGGGCATCCTGGAAGGAGCGACTGGGCTCGCTTCCCAGAATCTGAGCTGCACACGTCCAGTCCGGGAGAGACCCCTGGCCTGTCGCCGCGCCCGAGGGACCAGCAGCGTGGCTTCTCGGCGCTGCCCTAGGGCTAGCGCTGCGCAAAAAAACGCGCACTGCCACTGCTGCTCCCCAGGCTCCTTTTCCCCTCGCAGTCCTCCACGCGCCTCACCTTCACGGAGTCCAACGGGTACATGAGGGAGTGCTCCAGAATCCCGGCCATCGCTCCCGCTGTCATGTGGGTGGACACCGAGGCACTAGTCGGTAGGTTCTCGTAGTCCTCCGACCCTGCGTCCCTGCTGCCGCAGCCGCCATCTCGGCAGTCCCCATCCATCCTCCGGCTCGCAGCCTGGCTCCCCACGCCGCCGCGGTGGAGCTCCATCCGCAGCCCCGTGGGGCGCGGGAGGCGGCAGGAGGTGGGCAGAAGGGGGAGGGGGAGGAAAACTTCACTTCTTAAAGTGGGAACCTCCTCCCCCGGGTTGCGGCGGCTGACGCCATGGCGGGCTGGGGTGGAGCCGAGCGGCCTGAAGCACCAATGGCTGGAGAAGAAGAGGCTGGCCGCGGCAGCGCTATTGGTGCGCCGGGCAGCGGGCACCCGCCTCCCTGTGTGACGTCGCAGCCCACTGCACATTTCCAAGCAACCGGATGGGGGCGAGAACGTTGGGGTGTCCCGGGAAGTTGTGCTACCTAGGGGGTGGTGACCATCTTCTGCAATGGACCCAGGTCCCTGGGGAGAGTCAGCAGAAGAGATTTGCACGGAGCTGCAAAATAAGGAGCAGGAGATGTCCCCAGAACCGGTGGTTTTGCAGACCCTGGTCACCCAGCTTTAGCGTTCTTAAGGCTGGGGATCGGGTGGGAAAGGAAGACAGTTAACTGGGAATGTGAGTTATGAAGCATGGTGGGTGGACGGACATTGGAGTCGAGGGAAAGGTGTGTTCTATAATCAAAGGCACACCGGATATCGACAGGTGCACCTTTTGTGTTTCACTAGGGCACATTCCAGGGAGTGAACAGTTATCACTCATGGTCCCTCTTCTAGTAAGCTTTGCTTGGAGACAGCCTCATTGATTGGGAGGTGTTTCTCTTCTGAAAATAACAAAGGACTAAGTGTGTTCCTCTTGTTCTCTTAAAGATCCAAGTCCACCCTGTCCTGGATTGACCAAGGCAATAGTAGCAGGAACAGAACCCTTCACTAAACAACTGGGCATTTTCTTTGGATTTGTAAAGTCCTTAGCTGCTGTTACAGCAAGTAACTGAATAAATCTTTACAACAAAGTCTGCCTGTCTTTTAAATGTTCTTTTAAAGTCATCCCTGCTGGCTCCTTCAATGAATTGGAGCCCAGGATGCTTTATTTTAACTTAATATTGCCTGAGGTTAAGCGTAGAAATCAAAAAGCAGAGGTCTGTCTGCTTATGGAAGGCTCCTTCCTTACGTGCCTTAGGACATATTCCAGGGTGGAGGGCTGATCTGCAGAGCCTGGGCCTCTCTCACTTATCAAGAGCAGCAAGCCTGGGCAATGAGATATGCAAGGGTTGGGGGGACCCTGTAGATACTGTGCCTGCCAAGCTGCAGGTTCAGCACATTGCAAGCAGCTCTCAGGGATCTGAGATTCAGTGATGGGCACATCAAACGAGAACAATAAGGCATCAAAGCCAAGGGAACCATTTTCCAGTCTTAGGTAGCTGTCCTAGTGGCTTCCAGGTTACTCCTAAGATTATGAAAGTAGATACCAGAGTGTTGTTTAACAAAAGTGACGGAAAACATGGCTCAACTTTTGACAAGAGTAGTGTTTAAGAACTGTTGATCAGGAATTGTTGACACTCTCAGAATGTAGCCCAGCAATCAAGAGGGTGAGGCAAAAGGATCGCCACTAGTTTGAGGTCACTTTGTCTTCTATGATGAGTCCCAGGCCAGCCTGAGTTCAGTGTGAGAGCCTGTCACACACAAAAATGGTTTCTTCAGCCAACACATTTGAACCCCCATTCCACTTCTGAAGGCCTGAGACGCATAGAAAGCTTTTGAAAGTGTCATTTGTAGAAGCTAAGTATTCAGTAAGAGGGGAAATGAAGAAATGATGACGTGTATTAGTGAAATATTACACAGCCCCTAAAAACTGTGGTTCTGTTGGGCAATCACAAAGGAAATGATTCATGTACCGTTGGGTAAAAAAAAAGGGGGGGGGGGCAAAGCACAATTCTGTGACCATTACCCTCACAAAATGTCTGTGCATAGACATAAAAATGAATTGACTCTTGACTGCTGTTTTTCAGATTTCAGTTAATATATTTTTTCTGTGATTTAAAAATAAAAGAATTTGTATACCACCTCCTAATGGATAGAAAATGAGAAACTGAAATTTGCAACAGCAGCCTGGGTGGAAGGAATTCAACTTACCAGTGACTAAGAATATTCTTGGGGACTTTTTTAAAAAAAAAGAATAAAGGCCATGAATTTGAGAAAGGGTGTGGGGCATGAGAAAAGTTGGAAAAGTTGGAGGGGAAATTGTATATAGCACTTATATATCAAATTTACACAAAAATAAATATTAAAAATCAAAAAATGAAAAGAGTGCAAATCTGTGAGGGATTTACTGTAAGTGCTCATTATTTTTTTTTCTACTTCTCTGTGTGATGGACTGTGTACCCTTATGTATCTCGCACTCACTGCATTGCAGCAGACACATTTCTAGAATGCCCTTGCAGCCAGGGGTCTAGATGAGCTGGAGAGATCTGGAAGGCAGAGGTGCAGCTGGCGCCATCTTCTGCTGCTTGCTGTTTCTTGCCCCCTGAGAAGGATGCATGATGTGGGTGTCCTTCTGTATATGTGTTGCTTTTATTGGTTAATGAATAAAGCTGCTTTGGCCTATAGCAAGGCAGAATATAGCCAGGCTGGAAGAGAGAGAGAGAGAGAGAGAGAGAGAGAGAGAGAGAGAGAGAGAGAGAGAGAGAGAGNGAGAGAGAGAGAGAGAGAGAGAGAGAGAGAGAGAGAGAGAGAGAATAGGTGGAGTCAAAGAGATACCATGTAGTTGCCCAAGCAGAAAGATGCCGCCAGAACCTTTCTGGTAAGCCACAGCCTCCTCGTGGCAATAAACAGATTAATATAAATAGGTTAATTTAAGATATAAGAGCTAGGTAGGAATACACCTAAGCTGTTGTTCAAACAGTGTTGTAATTGATATAGTTTTGTGTGATTATTTGGGTCCAGGCAGCAAAGAAACAAACAAGCAGTCTCCCTTTACAGATGCAGACACTTGGGGTCGGGGTGTCAGGGAGGATAGCACTACAGTGTCTGGCCACCAGACACATGGCTGTTGAGAGGCTTTAATAGCAAGATTGATGGCAGGCTCTCAAGCCCTTCATGATAGCTTCATATATGAACCCCTGATTCCTCCCCTTCAGGGATGTGAGAGTTAGTTGTTCCCTTGGCTGTGTGCATCTGAGAGTTATCCTCAGAGACCTACCCTGGAGTCTGCTTTCCACATCTCCAACAATACCAAGCATAGCAGTAGAAAGACATGGGAATCCAGCAGTCAGCCCTGCTCCTCCACTTCTGGAGGAAAACCTACTGGGACAAGGTCTACATTCCAGCCCTAGAACCCTGTGTTTTGGGCACACCCACACAGAGGAAGGAGCCCAGGAACCCAGAATCGGATCTGCTGCTGAGTAGATAGATATTTTATCTACTATCCAGGGTCAGGTCAGGAGAGGAAGAGTAATGATTTTGCTGGAGTCTTGCATAATAAAGTTCCTGACAGTTGAAGGCCTGAAGATGTCAGCACGCCTCCTGCCCCAGGCCAACCGAAAGCTAAGCTTAGCTTAGAAAGAGGAAGTTGCTGAGCATGCAGGACACACAGCCTCTAACTTTGGCTCAGAGACCTGTGCCAGCACTGGTTCCACCATTTACTGACAATGAGGCTCTGGCCTCTGGACTGACCTGCTTCCTCTGTAGGCCACAGCCACGGATACTTAACCATACACCAAGTGAAATACATTGGTACATTGAGAATGAAAGCATCCACAATGCTGACTAATTTTAACTCAAGTGTATACATTAAGAAGACCACAAATTCCTCTGAACCTATACAGTCCCTCGCAACTGCACATATCCGCCCCCTATAATCCCAGAATGCCTTGCTTTTCTAAGGACAGTGCTATTTATAGCCTCTTGACCTGTGACTCATCCTCAGGGCTACATTTCCCCAAGACACAGACGAAGAAACAGAAACAAAATTAAAGAGGTGGGGCAGAACTGTCGTCCTTTTCCAGGCTTCCTTTGATGGCAGGTGGTGGCGGGGAGAAGATAGAGTTGTGAATTGCAGCAGCAGATTGAGGGGACCTGTTAGCCTACTCCGCCTCACGAGAGTCTGCCCCTTCTCCGGTCTCAGCCACTCAAGTCCACAAGTCACCAGGACACGTGACATCAGCCAAGCCCAAGTGCTGAGAGGTGATCCGGCTCCACTCGTGGGGATACCTGCCCCATGCGGCATGACCTGAAGACACCAACTTGGACACCAACAAGTTTCTGCACTGCTCTCCCTCCACAGCCAAACCTCTAGCAGGCTAAAGGCCCAGAATGGTCAAAGGGGAGGGCAAGGCAGTGCTGGTGGCATGGAAGGCAAAGAGGTAAACACACTATGTCTGAAACAAGTCCTACGTGCACTTCTGCATGGTGGATCATAGACCACCAGCTGCCCACCACGTCAGCTGACCCATAATCTTTCCCCCTCCCATCCCATTATCACAAGCACACCGATGTCTCCTATATCTAATAAAATCTCTCTTCCCAGCTTCACACGTTAAATTGCTGCCAATTCCCCTCTGCCATCCCAAAGTTCTTGAAAGAGTTACCTCCTCTTTTATGTCACCCTTTTTCAAAACCCTGCATGGTAATTTTTACCCCCTGCCATTTTTCTTGTGGGTTCCCAGTCTTAGAAGGTTCACTGATGACTTCAATGCTAAGTGAACCCCTGAGCCCAGCTCCTGCCACTGTCCTGGCAGGAATAAAGGTGTTTCAAAGGACACTTAGATCTCTTCGTTTCGCTATCAGGCTGTTGAAAGGGTTCCTACGAAATTGGAATCTCCCCAGGAGTCTCACACCAAATAGAGGAAAGGCTAGGGCCCAGGTGCCTAGTTAGGAGTTTACCTTCCAGGAAGAGATGCCATACAGCTATGATAACATGTCAGAACACCTTGCAGAAGAGCCCAAACTGGGACAATGGTGACAGGTGGAACTGTACCGTCAATAGGACTGCTTAGTTAAGCCCACCTCTTGCTTTCTATTTAAACCTAAAGCTCACGTCAGGACCCTGAGCATAGACTTGGGGAATGAGGGGGCTACTCCATGGACCTCTCTGTTACACACTGGCCACACTGGATAAGTCTTTTTATGCTTTTCACTATTAATTGTGTTGATAATTGGCCTATTGAAGACAGGTGGCCAAGTAATTTGTTAGGGCCGCCAGGGCCCCAGCTCTGCCCCCAACAACTCTGGTAACATCCCCAGCCTGAACTTCTAGATCCTTCCCCTGGAATTCCTCCCTCACTTTCCGTTCTTTCTTCCCACCCACTTGACCTCTCGTTCCTCTCTGGGTTCTGTCCTCCCTTCTTCCCTCCCTTTTCGTGATCCTCTTGCCTATCCCAGTTACCAAGCCCATCTCAGTTTTGCATCCTACCCGATCCTCCGCTCCCCATGCCTGGTTCACGTGCTCCCAGACAGTTCCAGAATATTCTACCACCCTACAGCTCAGTGTTGATTCATGTCTTGGGCCGGCTATACCAAAATGCTTCTAGGGGACAGCTTGAGACTTATTAACTTATGAAGCCTAAAGCCTAAGGTTGCTGTCCCCTTCCAGCTTCTGGAAAGTCCTTGCCACCTTGATGTTCTTTGATGTCAGAAAGCAAGAAAGACAAGGGAGCAAGCCACCTCCATGACAGCACTGAGCTAAGGAACAGAGACCTCTAGTATAAGAAACTAGAGAGCCCACTCTCCACTTACAGACAGGGACATTGAAAATATTCCTTTTCTGGCCTCTACTCGGTTGTTGCTAGGAGTTGCTTAGGAACTAAGTTGAGTGGTAGACTAAAGACTCTCAGGTGATGGAGAACTAGCTCTCATGGCCACATCTTGGGGATGGAGTAGTGATAAGGCAGAAAGGGCTTGGGTCTGGAAAAGTAAGTAATGTTAGTTCTGGAGGCAAAATTACTTAGTTTCTGGAATTGTCATGGATACAAAACACTGTGGCAGTGACTAACACCCGACTTGGTTTCTATTAACTGGA